CTGTGGAGCTGGGGATGCAATGGAGAGGCCACAGTGAAGGCCATGAGCATCTGTATGTGAATCTATCTCTCCGTTCTTCCATCCATCCATCTGTTCATCCATTCATCCATCCATCCACACATGCATGCCTCATCCATACTTCATTCATCGTCCTTTCCATCATTCATTCCATCCCTGCCTCTATAGAGGCCTATCAAGAGCCCAGTACAGGATCACCGACGTACTCAATCATCTACTGTCTGACCACTCATCTATTGATGGATCTATTCATCAATGCAACCCTCAATGCTTCTCATTGATGTAAAGCTCTCCAGGCATTCCATATTCCAAGGATCATTCTATCCAATCATCTACTCGTATTTCCAAATTTATCCATCCATCCATCCATCCATCCATCCATCCATCCATCCATCCCACAGGCAGCCATGGTGCTCTAAATACCTCTCAAATACTCAACACATGATGATGAACAACCCCATCATCCAACTTTAGTACATTCATTTGCTGATTCAGCACAGTCACACCTAGCATTGAAGTCTTTCAGGGTCGATCAACCATCCATAACTCCAACCATCCATTGCTGTATCCTTTCATCCATTCATCCCTCCATGCTTTCCATCAGCATCCAGCTCTCCAGGAATTCAACACACATTGTTTATGTATACTCATCCTTCTACTCATAAATCCTTTCATACATCCATCCATCCATCCATCCATCCATCCATCCATCCATCCATCCATCCATCCATCCATCCATCCATCATTCATCCATCCATCCATCCATCCATCCATCCATCCATCCATCCATCCATCCATCCATCCATCCACATCCATCCATCCATCTATCATCCATCCATCCATCCATCCATCCATCCATCCATCCATCCAATCCATCCATCATCCATCCATGTCAACCATCTTAATCCATCCACCATCCATCCATCCATCCATCCATCCATCCATCCATCCATCCATCCATCCATCCATCCATCCATCCATCCATCCATCCACATCCATCCATCCATCCATCCATCCATCCATCCATCCATCCATCCATCCATCCATCCATCCATCCATCCATCCATCCATCCATCCATCCATCCATCCATCCATCCATTCATCCATCATCCATCCATCCATCCACCCATACATCATCCATCCATTCATCCATCCATCCGTCCATCCGTCCATCCACCCAACCATCACCCATTCATTCATCAATACCTCCATCCATCATCCTCCTTTCCACCTTTCCTTCCACCCATGCATCTGTAAAGTCCTACCAAGCACCCAATACAGGATCTGTGACAAACTCAAACATCCACCATCTGATCAGTTATTCATTGATGCACACATTCATCCATGCAACTCTTAATACTGGGACTCAGCACTCCAGACATTCTGGATTCCATGGCTCCATCTCTCCATTCTTCTACTCACAAATCCAAACACATCCATTCATCCGTCCTATCCAACCCTCTCACAGGAAGCCGTGCTGCTCTAGAGACATTTCAAACCCTCACCACATGATCAGGCACAAACTCCACCACCCGCCATTAATTCCCTGCCTTTGCAGTTCAGCCATCAACCATCCATCCATCCATCCATCCATCCCCATCCATCCATCCATCATCCATCCATCTCTACATCCACCCATCCTTTCATCCATCCATCCATTCATCCATCCATCCATCCATCCATCCATCCATCCATCCATCCATCCATCCATCCATCCATCCATTCATCCATCCACCATCCATCCATCCATCCATCACTTCTCATCCATCCATCCATCCATCCATCCATTATCCATCCATCCACACCATCCATCCATCCTCCATGAACATCCATCCCTCCATCCATCCACCCGTCCATGCATTCAACAACCCCTCCACCCTGCCAACCTGTCACACCCCCATTCTTCCACTGACCCCAAATCCCCTCCCACCCCCTTTCCTCCACTGACCAAGGCACGAGCACGGGCCCTGCCCAAGCTTCTGTCCACTACAAGAGGCGGTTCAGCGGGGCTGGTGCCAGAGCCCCCTCACCTGTGACAGTGTCGGTGGAGACGGGGCCCAGGCGTGTGCGACCCCACAGCCCGTACAGGTTGAACTTGTAGCGGCGGGACGGGGACAGCCCCGGCAGCGTCAGCGTGCGGGAACCCCCGTCCACGGGCAGCACCTGGGGCTGGCCTTGTGCATCGCGGTACTGCAGCGTGAAGGAGTCAAAGGTGCCCTCGGGGACGCTCCACTCCAGCTGCACCGAGTCAGAGGTGACCTCGGACACCCTGAGCTCACCCAGCACTGGCTGTGATGGTGGTTCCTCCTCCTGTGGAGCTGGGGCTGCAATGGAGAGGCCACAGTGAAGGCCATGAGCATCTGTATGTGAATCTATCTCTCCATTCTTCCATCCATCCATCTGTTCATCCATTCATCCATCCATCCACACATGCATGCCTCATCCATACATTATGCATCCTTCCTTCCATCATTCATTCCATCCCTGCATCTATAGAGTCCTATCAAGAGCCCAGTACAGGATCACTGACGTACTCAATCATCAACCATCTGACCACTCATCTATTGATGGATCTATTCATCAATGCAACCTCAATGCTCCTCATTGAGGTAAAGCTCTCCAGGCATTCCATATTCCATGGATCATTCCACCCATTCATCTACTAATAATTGCAATTTTAACCATCCATCCGTCCATCCATCCATCCATCCATCCATCCATCCCACAGGCAGCCATGCTGCTCTAAAGACCTGCCAAACACTCAACACATGATCACAAACAACCCCATCATCCACCTTTAGTACATTCATTTGCTGATTCAGCACAGTCAGATGTGGCCTTGAAGACTTTCAGGGTCCATCAACCATCCATAACTCCAACCATCCATTGCTGTATTCATTCATCCATTCAGCCCTCCATGCTTTCCATCAGCATCCAGCTCTCCAGGAATTCAACACACATTGTTTATGTATACTCATCCTTCATCTCATAAATCATTTCTTACTTCCGTCCATCCACCCATCCATCCATCCATCCATCCATCCATCCATCCATCCGTCCATCCATCCATCCATCCATCCATCATCCCATTTATGTGTCCATTCATCCATCCATCCATCCATCCATCCATCCATCCATCCATCCATCCATCCATCCACCCATCCTTCATCCACCCACTCACCCATCCATTCATCCACCCATCTATCCATCCATCCATCCATCCATCCATCCATCCATCCATCCATCCATCCCTCCCTCCCTCCATCCTTCCATCCATTCATCCTTCCATGCATCCACTCATCCTTCCATGCATCCACTCATCCATCCATCCATCCATCCATCCATGATCCACCCACCCATCATCCATTCTTCCATCCACGGACCTATTCACTATTCTGTCATTCACTGCACTCTTCTCTGTACTGGCTCTTTAATCCATCCCTCCAACGAATCATCGAGCAACCAGAACAGTCACGTGAGACTGTGAACCAAAGCCAAAATATAACAACCCCCATAACTTCATCCATCCATCCATGCATCCAACCATCAATCAATCAACTATCTACCCAACTATCCACCCATTCATCCATCCACCCATCCAACGATCCATCCTCTACAACCCCTCCATCCTTCCAACCTATCAAGCCCCCATCCTTCCATTGACCCCAAATCCCCTCCCACCCCCTTTCCTCCACTGACCAAGGCACGAGCACGGGCCCTGCCCAAGCTTCTGTCCACTACAAGAGGCGGTTCAGCGGGGCTGGTGCCAGAGCCCCCTCACCTGTGACAGTGTCGGTGGAGACGGGGCCCAGGCGTGTGCGACCCCACAGCCCGTACAGGTTGAACTTGTAGCGGCGGGACGGGGACAGCCCCGGCAGCGTCAGCGTGCGGGAACCCCCGTCCACGGGCAGCACCTGGGGCTGGCCTTGTGCATCGCGGTACTGCAGCGTGAAGGAGTCAAAGGTGCCCTCGGGGACGCTCCACTCCAGCTGCACCGAGTCAGAGGTGACGTTGGAAACCCTGAGCTCACCCAGCACTGGCTGCGATGCTGGTTCCTCCTCCTGTGGAGCTGGGGCTGCAATGGAGAGGCCAAAATGAAGGTAATGAGCATTTGTATGTGAATCTATCTCTCCATTCTTCCATCCATCTGTTCATCCATTCATCCATTCATGCACACATAAATGCATCATCCATACATCATGCATCCTTCCTTCCATCATTCATTCCATCCCTGCATCTATAGAGTCCTATAAAGGGCTCAGTACAGGATCATCGACATGCTCAATCATCTACTGTCTCACCAGTCATTTGTTGATGGATCTATTCATCAATGCAACCCTCAATGATTCTCATTCTCTCCATCCATCTTTTCATATTTCCAAATTTATCCATCCGTCCATCCATCCATCCATTCATCCCACAGGCAGCCATGCTGCTCTAAAGACCTGCCAAACACTCAACACATGATGATGAGCAACCCCATCATCCACCTTCAGTACATTCATTTGCTGATCCAGCACAGACACACCTAGCATTAAAGACTTTCAGGGTCGATCAACCATCCATAACTCCAACCATCCATTGCTGTATTCATTCATCCATTCAGCCCTCCATGCTTTCCATCAGCATCCAGCTCTCCAGGAATTCAACACACATTGTTTATGTATACTCATCTTTCTAATCATAAATCCTTTCATCCATCCATCCATCCGCATCCATCCTTCCATCCATTCATCCACCCATCCATGCAGCCTTCCATCTGTCCTTCCATACACCCACTCATCCATCCATCCTTCCATCCATCCATCCATCCATCCACCCACTCATTCATCCATTCAAGCAACCATCCATCCATCCATCCATCCATCCATCCATCCATCCATCCATCCATCCATCCATCCATCCACCCATCCGTCCATTCTTCTGTCCATCCATCCTTTTATTCACCCACTCATCCATCCATCCTTCCATCCATCCATCTTTCCATCCACCCACTCATTCATCCATTCATGTACCCATCCATCCATGCATCCATGCATCCATCCATCCATCCATCCATCCATCCATCCATCCATCCACCCATCCATCCATCCATCCATCCATCCATCCATCCATCCATCCATCCATCCATGATCCACCCACCCATCATCCATCCTTCCATCCAGGGACCTATTCACTATTCTGTCTTTCACTGCACTCTTCTCTGTACTGGTTCTTTAACCCATCCCTCCAATGAATCATCGAGGGATCAAAATAGTCACTTGAGAGTGTGAACCAAAACCAAAATGTAGCAACCCCCATAACTCTATCCATCCATCCATGCATCCAACCATCAATCATTCAACTATCCACCCAGCTATCCACCCATCCAACTATCCATCCTTCCACCCAACCATCCATGCACTCATCCATCCATTTGTGCCCAAGGGGCCATGGCTGGTGCCAGAGCCCCCTCACCTGTGACAGTGTCGGTGGAGACGGGGCCCAGGCGTGTGCGACCCCACAGCCCGTACAGGTTGAACTTGTAGCGGCGGGACGGGGACAGCCCCGGCAGCGTCAGCGTGCGGGAACCCCCGTCCACGGGCAGCACCTGGGGCTGGCCTTGTGCATCGCGGTACTGCAGCGTGAAGGAGTCAAAGGTGCCCTCGGGGACGCTCCACTCCAGCTGCACCGAGTCAGAGGTGACCTCGGACACCCTGAGCTCACCCAGGCGAGGCTTGATTGGTGGCTTCTTCTCCTGTGGAGCTGGGGCTGCAATGGAGAGGCCACAATGTGGCTAATGACCATCTGCATTACCCTCCATGCAGCCAGCCAGCCACTCCCAATCATACATCACCCAACTACCCATCACACAATCATCCAACCCCATCACTCATCCAATATTCCTGCCTTCCATGTCAATATCTCATCGTTCCTCTGACCTCACATGTTCTCACCTCCCGAAAGACAGGGAGAGATATTCCTCCCATATCCCTCAGTCTCAAGGGACCTTCCAAGCCTCTTGAGCTTCCCTATACCTACTGCCTGCACAGGACATGGGCGGACCTGGGGATGTCCTCACCTGTAATGGTGTCGGTGGAGATGACACCAACCCGCTTCCGTCCCCACACACTGTACAGGTTGAACTTGTAGCGTCGGGACGGGGACAGCCCTGACACTGTGACCGTGCGGGAGCCACCATCAACTGCAAGTGCCTGAGGTTGGCCTTGAGCATCCCGGTACTGCACAGTGAAGGAGTCAAAGGTGCCCTCGGGGACGCTCCACTCCAGCTGCACCGAGTCAGAGGTGACCTCGGACACCCTGAGCTCGCCCAGGCGCGGTTTGGTTGGTGGCTCCTCCGATGGTGGGGCCGGCTCTGCTGTGGGATGGTCGATGAAGAATGTGAACATCCACCCACCCCTGCATCCTTCAGCGTTGGTCCATCCCCAGGTCTGCTCAAGCACCCTCCAATGCCAGCACCCGTCCATCCTCCCATTGATACAAGTGGGTCATGGTGCCACCCATCCAACTGTCCATTCCTGCTGGTGTTTGTCCTTTGTTCCTTAATTATCTGTCCTTTCATGTAATCAATACAGAATTCCAGGTTTCTGTCCATTGAATGACCTGGTTTTCCAGTCAGTTCTCCTTCCATCAGCCTTTGAATCAACCCACCCAGTTTCCAACTTGCCATCCACCTACCCAATCATCCATCCCTCTTTGAATCCATCCAGCCATCACCCAACCACCTGTCCATTCCTCTATCCTTCCACCCATTCACCACCTCCTCCACATATTCAACTTCCCATAGAATCATGGAATGGTTTGGGTTGGAAGGGTTCTCTTAAAGCTTATCCAGTTCCAACTTCCACCGTGGACAGGGACACCTTCCACTAGAGCAGGTTACTCAAAACCCTGCTTATACAACCCATTCCAATGTCTCACCACTCTCACAGTGAAGAACTCTCCAATCTCCCATCAAACTCTTCCCTCTTCCAATTGGAAGCTGTTACTCCTTGTCCCACCCCTATACGCTGCGTTAGAAGCAGCTCTCCAGGTTTCCTGCAGCCCTTTAGGCACTGGAGATGTTCTAAGGTCTCCTCTTAAGGAGCTTTCTCTTCTTCAGGCTGACCCAGCCCAGCTCTCTCATCCTGGCTCCAGAGGAGAGCTGCTCCAGCCCACAAAGTATCTCCATGGCCTCCTCTGGACACACACCAACAGCTCCGTGTCCATCTTGTGTCTTTCATATATATCCATCATCCATCCATCCATCATCAATCCATTCATCCATCCATCCATCCATCCATTCATCTTTTATCCATCCATCCATCACCCATCCATCCATCCATCACCCATCCATGCATCCATCCATCCGTCCATGCATCCATCCATCTGTCCATGCATGCATCCATGCATCCATCCATCAATCCATTCATCCATCCATCCATTCATCTTCCATCCATCCATCCATCACTCACCAATCCATCACCCATCCATGCATCCATGCATCCATCCATCCATGCATCCATCCATGAATGCATCCATCCATCCATCCATCCATTCATCCATCCATCCATCCATCCATCCATCCATCCATCCATCCATCCATCCATCCATCCATTCATCCATTACCCATCCATGCATCCATCATCAATTCATTCGTCCATCCATCCATCCATCTTCCATCCATCCATCTTCCATCCATCCATCTTCCATCCATCCATCCATCCATCCATCCATCCATCCATCCATCCATCCATCCATTCATCTTCCATCCATCCATCACCCATCCATCCATCCCTCATCCATGCATGCATCCATCCATCCATGCATGCTCCCATGCATGCATCCATGCATCCATCCATCCATTCATGCACCCATCCATCCACCCATCCATCCATCCATCCATCCTTCCCTCCCTCCATCCACCCGTCCCACCACCACCAACTTGTCTCCCAAGAGCAGCTCAGCCTGGACACCCGAGTCTCCCTCATTGTCCCCATGGACACTTGGTACCTTCTTTGGCTGGGGCTCCTTGGGGCTCCGTCGGCTCCATCTCGTACATCTGCTCCCAGCCCAGCGGCGGCTCCTCGGTGCCTCCCACCCCTGCAGCAGGGTTGCAGCGGGTGGTTATGGGGTGCCCCCGTTCCCCCCTGTGCCTGTCTCCGTTCCCATCACCCACCTGCTGTCACCAGGAACGTGTAGGACTTGGAGACGTGGCCCCGCACCAGCCCGTGCACCTCCACCCGGTACCTGGCCCCCGGCACCAGCCCCGGCACCCGTGCCAGCGCCGCGTCCCCCGGCACCCGCAGCTCCCCCTCGGCCCCCTCGGGCTCTTCCAGGAGCCGGTACCGGATCACCACGGTCTCCGCGTGGCCCCGCAGCCCCTCCAGGTCCACCAGAGCCTCCCCGGCAGCCCCCGGCATCAAGTGGGGCTTGGGATGGGGCAGCTGCTGCAGGAGCTGGTGCCGGAGCGCGGCCGGGCTGCGGCGCAGGAGGTACGAGAGGATGGCCCTGGCCACCGCGGGCACCGTCTGGTTGCCCCGCAGGGGGAAGTTGGTGGCCCGGAGGTGGCTCTCCAGGCGCTGCAGCAAGGAGCCGTTGTAGGAGGCAAGCTTGGCCCCCAGGTCATGCAGGGATGGGACCCCAGGGAGCCCTGGGGACCACGGGGCTGGAGGTGACGCGGGGGCCTGTGGTAGCGCTGGGGACTCCGGGGACACTGGGGCTGATGGGGACCCCGGTGACCTCGCAGATGCTGGGGACCCTCGAGGCACTGGGGCCGCTGGAAGCCTTGGCGATGCTGGCAGTGACCCCAAAGACCCCGGTGAGGCCAAGGGTGCATCCGGTGACGCCGGTGAGCCCGGGGATGCTGCTGGCGCCGGGGACCTCGGGGGTGGCGGGGACGCAATCGGTGGCACTGGGGACCCTCCGTGACGGGGCAGGGTCTGGGCAAGCTCTGTGAGAGCAAAGAGGGGACATGGGGATGGGAGGGCACGGAGGGGTACGGGGACAGACGGATGCATGGGGGCAGACCCATGGGGGCAGAATGGGGACGCCAGGTTCATGGAGACAAACGGGGACAGATGGGAGACATGCGGATGCAGCAAGAGAGGGATGGAGGGGGAAGCAGCAGGAGATGTGGGGACATGTGGAGACATGAGGACGTATGCACCCATAGGGACAGAGGAGCCCGTGGGGACACACAGACCCATGGGGACAGAGGGGCCAGCGGGGTCACATGCAGCCATGGGGACACACAAGCCCATGGGGACACAGGGACCCATGGGACAGACAGCTGGGACCTGCCGAGCCATTGGGACACATGGACATGTGGGGACAGACAGAGGCGGCTGCACCTCCTATCCCATCCCTGTCCCATCCCTGTCCCCATCCCTATCCCTGTCCCCATCCCTGTCCCCATCCCTGTTCTCATCCCTGTCCTCATCCCTGTTCTCATCCCTGTCCCCATCCCTGTCTCCATCCCTGTCCCCATCCCTGTCCCCATCCCTGTCCCCATCCCCGTCTCCATCCCTGTCCCCATCCCTGTCCCTATCCCTGTCCCCATCCCTGTCCCCATCCCCGTCCCCATCCCTGTCCCTATCCCTGTCCCCATCCCTGTCCCCATCCCCGTCTCCATCCCTGTCCCCAACCCTGTCCCCATCCCTGTCCCATCCCTGTCCCCATCCCTGTCCCCATCCCTGTCCCCATCCCTGTCCCATCCCTGTCCCCATCCCTGTCCCATCCCTGTCCCCTCTGTCATCTCCTCCCATCCCCGTGCTGCTGCCACCCCATATCCCCTATGTCCCCATGACTGTTGTCATCACCTGCTCCCCCCACAGTGATCCCCCAATGTCCCCATGTCCCCATATCCCATTGTCCCAATGTCCCCCGTGTCCCAAATATCCCCATATCCCCATGTCCCCAGGTTCCCATAACCCCATATCCCCATAACCCCGTGTCCCCATATCCCAGTGTCCCAATGTCCCCCATGTCCCAGATATCCCCATATCCCCATGTCAGCCTGTCCCCATGGTCCCACGTACACATATCCCCATGTTCTAATATCCCCATATCCCCATATCATGTCCCCATATCCCCATGTTCCACCATCCCCATATCCCCATGTCCCCCCGTCCCCATGTCCCCATATCCCCATGTCCCCATATCCCTGTATCCCCATATCCCCCTGTCCCCATTTCCCTGTATCCCCATGTCTCCATGTCCCCATATCCCTGTATCCGCATATCTCAATACCCCCATGTCCCTATATCCCCATATCCCTGTATACCCATGTCCCCCACATCCCCATATCTCCATATCCCTATGTCACATATTCCCATGTCCCTATATCCCCATATCCCTGTATCCCCATGCCCCCATATCCCCATGTCCCCCAAATCCCCACATCCCCATGTCCCCATATCCCTCATATCCTCATGTCTCCATATCCCCATGTCCCCATACCCCACATCCCCATGTCCCCCAAATCCCCACATCCCCATGTCCCCATATCCCCCATATCCTCATGTCTCCATATCCCCATGTACCCATATCCCCACATCCCCATGTCCCCATATACCCAGATCCCATTGTCCCCACATCCCATTGTCCCCCTTGTCCCCTGTCTCCACATCCCCACATCCCATTGCCCCAAGTCGCACTGTCCCCACATCCCATTGTCCCCATTGTTCCCCAAATCCCATTGTCTCCCATTGTTCCCCACATCCCATTGTCCCCATTGTCCCCATTGTTCCCCACATCCCATTGTCCCCATTGTCTCCCCATTGTCCCCATTGTCCCCATTTTCCCCCATTGTCCCCATTGTCCTCCATTATCCCCATTGTCCCCGTTGTCCGCATTGTTCCTCACACCCCATTGCCCCCGTTGTCCCCCACTGTCCCCATTGTCTCCCCATTGTCCCCCATTGTCCGCATTGTCTCCATTGTTCCCCATTGTTCCTCACACCCCATTGTCCCCATTGTCCCCCACACCCCATTGTCCCCATTGTCCCCATTGTTCCTCACACCCCATTGTCCCCCCATTGCCCCCCATTGTCCCCATTGTTCCTCACACGCCATTGTCCCTATTGTCTCCCCATTGTCCCCCCATTGTCCCCATTGTGTCCCCATTGTTCCTCACACCCCACTGTCCCTATTATCTCCCCATTGCCCCCCATTGTCCCCATTGTTCCTCACACCCCATTGTCCCCCCATTGCTCCCCATTGTGTCCCCATTGCTCCTCACACCCCATTGTCCCCATTGTCCCCATTGTCTCCCCATTGTCCCCATTGTCCCCATTGTCCTCCATTATCCCCATTGTCCCCGTTGTATCCCCATTGTAGCCCATTGTCCCCATTGTCTCCATTGTTCCCATTGTCCCCCATTGTTCCTCACACCCCATTGCCCCGTTGTCCCCCACTGTCCCCATTGTCTCCCCATTGTCCCCCATTGTCCGCATTGTCTCCATTGTTCCCATTGTCCCCCATTGTTCCTCACACCCCATTGTCCCCATTGTCCCCATTGTCCCCATTGTCCCCATTGTTCCTCACACCCCATTGTCCCCCCATTGCCCCCCATTGTCCCCATTGTTCCTCACACCCCATTGTCCCTATTGTCTCCCCATTGCCCCCATTGTCCCCATTGTTCCTCACACCCCATTGTCCCCATTGTGTCGCCATTGTCCCCATTGTCCCCATTGTCTCCCCATTGTCCCCCCTGTCCCCCTTGTCCCCCACTCACGGGTTCGCAGGCGCAGGGTCCCCGCTGGGCCCAGCTCCCCCCGTGTCCTCGCCTGCACGCGGAGCTCGAAGCTGCTGCCGGGCTCCAGCCCCGAGGCCTCGAACGTGAGCGCGGAGCCGGGCAGGTCCTGGGAGAGCGCGGAGCCGGGGTCGTCCTGGGGACAGGGGGAGCGATGGGGGGGGTTAATGGGGGGTAATGGGGTGTAATGGGGGGTAATGGGGTGTTAATAGGGGATAATGGGGGTATAATGGGGTGTTAATAGGGTGTAATGGGGGGTAATGGGGTGAAATGGGGTGTTAATAGGGGATAATGGGGGTGTAATGGGGTGTTAATAGGGGATATTGGGGGTGTAATGGGGTGTTAATAGGGTGTAATGTGGGGAAAAGGGGTGAAAAGCGGATGTAATGGGGTGTAATGGGGTGTTAATAGGGGATAATGGGGGTGTAATGGGGTGAATAGGGTGTAATGGGGGGTAATGGGGTGAAATGGGGTGTTAATAGGGGATAATGGGGGTGTAATGGGGTGTTAATAGGGGATATTGGGGGTGTAATGGGGTGTTAATAGGGTGTAATGGGGGGTAATGGGGTGTAATGGGTGATAATGGGGTGTAATGGGGTGTTAATGGGGGATAATGGGGGTGTAATGGGGTGTTAATAGGGTGTAATGGGGGTAATGGGGTGTTAATGGGATGTAATGGGGTGTAATGGGGTGTTAATGAGGGATAATGGGGGTGTAATGGGGTGTAATGGGGTGTTAATGGGGGATAATGGGGGTGTAACGGGGTGTAACGGGGTGTAATGGGGTGTAATGGGGTGTTAATGGGGGATAATGGGGGTGTAAAGGGGTGTAACGGGGTTGTAAGGGGGTGTAAATGGTTTGTAATGGGCTGTAATGGGGTGTTAATGGGGTGTAATGGGGGGTTAATGGGGTGTAATGGAGTGTAATGGGGTGTAATGGGGTTGTAATGGGGGATAATGTGTGGTAGTGGGGTGTAATGGGGTGTTAATGGGGTGGTAATGGGGTGTTAATGGGGTGTAATGGGGGATAATGGGGGGTAATGGGGTATAATGGGGTTGTAAGGGGGTGTAATGGGGTGTAATGGGGGTGTAATGGGGTGTAATGGGGTGTTAATGGGGTATAAAGGGGATAATGGGGTGTTTATGGGGTGTAATGGTGGTGTAATGGGGTGTAATGGGGTGTTATTGGGGGTTACTGGGGTGTAATGGGGGTGTAATGGGGTGCAATGGGGTTTAATGGGGGTACTGGGGTGTAATGGGGTATTAATGGGGTGCAATGGGGTGTAATGGGGTGTTAATGGGGTGTTAATGGGGTGTAATGGTGTGTTAATGGGGCATTAATGGGGCGTAATGGTGGTGTAGTGGGGGTGGTACTGGAGTGTAATGGTGGTGTAATGGGGTGTTAATGGGGTGTAATGGAGTGTAATGAGGAGTAAGGGGGTGTAAGGGGGTGTAATGGGGTTTAATGGCGGTACTGGGGTGTAATGGGGGTGTAACGGGGTGTTAATGGGGTGCAATGGGGTGTTAATGGGGTGTAATGGTGTGTTAATGGGGCGTAATGGTGGTGTAGTGGGGGTGGTAATGGGATGTAATGGGGTGTAATGGGGTGCAAGGGGGTGTAATGCAGTGTAATGGGGTGTAATGGGGTGTAATGGGGATGTAATGGGGTGTCATGGGGTGCAATGCGGGTATAATAGGAGTGTAGTGCGGGTGTAATGGGGTTTAGTGGGGGTGTAATGGGGGTGTAATGGGGTTTATTAGGGGTGTAATGGGGATGAAACGGGGGTGCAGTGGGAGTGCTCTGGTGGCTCACTGGGGATGCCCTGGGAACACTGGGGGTGCGCTGGCGGTGCACTGGGGGTGCAATGGGGATGCACTGGGGATGCACTGGGGGTGCACTGGGGGTGCAATGGGGATGTGATGGGATACAATGGGGGTGCAATGGGGGTGCAATGGGGATGCAATGGGGATGCACTGGGGGTGCAATGGAGATGCAATAGGGGTGCAATGGGGGTGCAATAGGGGTGCAATGGGGATGCAATGGGGGTGCAATGAGGATGCAATAGGGGTGCACTGGGGATGCAGTGGGGATGCAATAGGGGTGCAATAGAGATGCAATAGGGGTGCAATGGGGATGCAATGGGGGTGCAATAGGGATGCAATAGGGGTGCAATAGAGATGCAATAGGGGTGCAATGGAGATGCAATGGGGGTGCACTGGGGATGCACTGGGAACACTGGGGGTGCGCTGGGCGTGCACTGGGGATGCACTGGGGATGCAATCGGGGGGCAATGGGGGTGCAATGGAGATGCTATGGGGATGCAATGCGGATGCACTGGGGATGCAATAGGGGTGCAATGGGGATGCAATGGGGGTGCAACAGGGGTGCAATAGAGATGCAATGGGGGTGCAATGGGGATGCAATAGGGGTGCAATGGGGATGCAATGGGGGTGCAATGGGGATGCAATAGGGGTGCAATGGAGATGCAATGGGGGTGCAATGGAGATGCAGTAGGGGTGCCACGGGGATGCAATGGGGGTGCAATGGGGATGCAATAGGGGTGCAATGGGGATGCATTGGGGATGTGATGGGATGCAATAGGGGTGCAATGTGGATGCACTGGGGATGCAATAGGGATGCAATAGGGATGCAATGGGTCCCACAGGGATGCAATGGGGATGCACTGGGGATGCAATGGGTCCCATAGGGATGCACTGGGGATGCAATGGGGATGCACTGGGGGTGCAATGGGGAGGCAATAGGGGTGCACTGGGGATGCAATGGGGATGCACTGGGGGTGCAATGGGGATGCAATAGGGGTGCACTGGGGATGCAATGGGGATGCAATGGGGGTGCAATAGGGGTGCACTGGGGATGCAATGGGGATGCAATGGGGGTGCAATAGGGGTGCACTGGGGATGCAATGGGGATGCAATGGGGATGCAATGAGGATGCAATAGGGGTGCACTGGGGATGCACTGGGGATGCAATAGGGGTGCAATAGAGATGCAGTGGGGGTGCAATAGGGGTGCGCTGTGGATGCAATAGGGGTGCAATGAGGATGCAATAGGGGTGCAATGGGGGTGCAATTGAGATGCAATAGGGGTGCAATGGGGGTGCTATGGGGATGCAAAGGGGGTGCAATAGGGGTGCGCTGGGGATGCAATAGGGGTGCAATGGGGGTGCAATGGAGATGCAATGGGGATGCAACAGGGGTGCAATGGAGATGCAATGGGGGTGCAATGGGGGTGCAATGGAGATGCAATGGGGGTGCAATGGAGATACTATGGGGATGCAATGCGGATGCACTGGGGATGCAATAGGGGTGCAATGGGGATGCAATGGGGGTGCAACGGGGTGCAATTGAGATGCAATGGGGGTGCAATGGGGATGCAATAGGGTTGCAATGGGGATGCAATGGGGATGCAATGGGGGTGCAATGGGGATGCAATAGGGGTGCAATGGGGATGCATTGGGGATGTGATGGGATGCAATAGGGGTGCAATGAGGATGCACTGGGGATGCAATAGGGGTGCAATGGGGATGCAGTGAGGGTGCATTGGGGATGCTCTGGGGATGCACTAGGGGTGCAATGGGGATGCACTGGGGATGCAATGGGGGTGCAATGGGGATGAAATAGGGGTGCAATGGAGATGCAATGGGGATGCAATAGGGGTGCAATGGGGATGCAATAGGGGTGCCACGGGGATGCAATGGGGATGCAATAGGGGTGCTCTGGGGATGCAATGGGGGTGCACTGGGGATGCAATAGGGGTGCAATGGGGATGCTCTGGGGGAGCACTGGGGATGCACTTCGGATGTACTGGGGGTGCTCTGGGGGTGCATTGGGGATGCACTATGGATGCACTATGGATGCAATAGGGGTGCAATGAGGATGGAATAGGGGTGCAATGGGGATGCACTGGGGATTCAATAGGGGTGCAATGGAGATGCAATGGGGAGGCACTGGGGTTGCTCTGGGGGTGCACTGAGGACGCACTGGGGAGCACTGGTTCACGTCCCCCACGCAGACATGGGGGCCCAAGGTGTCCTTAGGCCACCCCTGTGCCCATTGGGGCACCTTTAGGTCTCCCCCTGCGCCAGCAGCAGGGCCCATGGGTGCCACCCTGCACCCACAACCCTGGGGGACCCCCCCCCCCAATCCCCAGCTCACCAGCGGCACCAGGGACACCCGGTACCCGTCCACCGGCCCCGTCGGGGGGGGCCACGACACCCGCAAGGAAGAGGGGGTGCGGGAGAGCAAGCGGGGCCTCACCGAGGGGGGGGCTGTGGGGGGACACGGATCATTATGGGGGGCAGAAAAGGGGGGACAGGCACGGGATGGGGGCATTGAGGGATGGGGGTACCCATGGGATGGGGGCATTGAGGGATGGGGGCACCCATGGGATGGGGACACCCATGGGATGGGGGCACCCATGGGATAGAGCATTATGGGATGGGAACACCGATGGGATGGTGGCATTATGGGATGGGGACACCCATGGGATAGGGGCATTATGAGATGGGAACACCCATGGGATGGGGCATTATGGGATCGGGGCATTATGGGATGGGGCATTATGGGATGGGGCATTATGGGATGGGGGCATTGTGGGATTGGGGCACCCAATGACACCCATGGGATGGGGACACCCATGGGATGGGGGCATTATGGGATGGCAACACGGGTGGGATGGGGGCACCCATGGGATGGGGGCATTATGGGATGGGGACACCCATGGGATGGGGGCATAATGGGATGGCGACACTGATGGGATGGGGTATTATGGGATGGGGCATTATGGGATGGGTCATTATGGGATGGGGACATTATGGGATGGGGGCATTATGGGATGGGGGCATTGAGGGATGGGGGCATTATGGGATGGAGGCATTGAGGGATGGGGTCACCCTGGGACACCCATGGGATGGGGGCATTATGGGATGGGGACACCCATGGGATGGGGGCATTATGGGATGGGGACACTGATGGGATGGGGTATTATGGGATAGGGCATTATGGGATGGGGACATTAAGGGATGGGGGCATTATGGGATGGGGGCATTATGGGATGGCGACACTGATGGGATGGGGTATTATGGGATGGGGCATTATGGGATGGGTCATTATGGGATGGGGACACCCATGGGATGGGGGCATAATGGGATGGCGACACTGATGGGATGGGGTATTATGGGATGGGGCATTATGGGATGGGTCATTATGGGATGGGGACATTATGGGATGGGGGCATTATGGGATGGCGACACTGATGGGATGGGGTATTATGGGATGGGGCATTATGGGATGGGTCATTATGGGATGGGGACATTATGGGATGGGGGCATTATGGGATGGCGACACTGATGGGATGGGGTATTATGGGATGGGGCATTATGGGATGGGTCATTATGGGATGGGGACATTATGGGATGGGGGCATTATGGGATGGGGGCATTGAGGGATGGGGGCATTATGGGATGGAGGCATTGAGGGATGGGGTCACCCTGGGACACCCATGGGATGGGGGCATTATGGGATGGGGACACCCATGGGATGGGGGCATTATGGGATGGGGACACCCATGGGATGGGGGCATTATGGGATGGGGACACTGATGGGATGGGGTATTATGGGATAGGGCATTATGGGATGGGGACATTAAGGGATGGGGGCATTATGGGAATGGGGCATTATGGGATGGGGACCCCCACGTTGTGTAGGGGGGGTTGGATGCGGCTCTCGCACCATGGGCGCAGGCGGTGCCGGGGCCGCAGCCGCGGGTGCTGCAGTCGGGGCCGCTGAACCCGGGGAAGCATCGGCAGAGCCCGGAGCGGCAGCGGCCTTGGTCACTGCAACCCCCGGGGCATGGGGGGGGAGGGGAGGGGGGGTCCGGGGGGGGAGGGGAGGGGGGAGGGGCAGGAGCAGCCGTCAGCAGCGCTTGGGGGGCAGAGCTGGCGAGAGAGAGTGCGGCCTATGGGGGGGGGAGGAGGGGGAAAGGGTCACAGCGGAGAGATGGGGAACACAGAGACATAGCCCATAATAACCACACAGCCCATTATAACTGCATAATAACCCCGGACCCCATATCTCACACCCCCCACACCCCACACCCCCTACCCCATCCCCCCTCCCCCACACCCCACACTCCACACCCCATACCCCACACCCCATATCCCATATCCAATACCCCATCCCCCACACCCCACACCCCATATCCCATACCCCATTCCCCATCCCCCCCAACCCACACCCCATCCCCCCATACCTCATACCCCATACCCCATCTCACATCCCCCATACCCCACATCCCACACCCCATCCCCCATCCCCCATACCCCACACCCCATCCCCCACACCCCACACCCCATACCCCATATCCAACACCTCATCCCCCACATCCTGTACCCCATACCCTATACCTCACACCCCATATCCCATATCCAACTCCCCATCCCCCACACCCCATACCCTCCACCCCATTCCCCATCCCCCATACCCCACACCCCATAACCCATACACCACACCCCATGTCCCATACCCCACACCCCATCCCCCACATCCCATCCCCCATCCCCCACCCCCCATCCCCCATCCCCCACACCCCAAACCCCATACCCCATACCCTACACCCCATATGCCATATCCAACACCCCATACCCCACACCCCATCCCCCCCACCCCACATCCCACACCCCATCCCCCACACCCCACACCTCATCCCCCATCCCCCATCCCCCACACCCCACACCCCATACCCCATATCCCACACCCCACACCCCATCCACCACACCCCACATCCCATAATAACCCCACACCCCACACCTCATACCCCATATCCCACACCCCATCCACCCATACCTCATACCCCATATCCCATATCCCATATCCAACAACCCAAACCCCATCCCCCACACCCCACATCCCATATCCCATACCCCATCCCCCCACACCCCATCCCCCATATCCCATACCCCATCCCCCACCCCCACACCCCACACCCCATCCCCCATCCCCCATCCCCCACACCCCATATCCCACACCCCATCCCCCACATCCCGTACCCCACACCCTATACCCCACACCCCACACCCCATACCCCACACCCCATCCCCCATCCCCCATTCCCCATACCCCACACCCCATACCCCACACCCCATCCCCCATACCCCACACCCCACACCCCACACCCCATCCCCCATACCCCACACCCCATATCCCATACCCCACACCCCATACCCCACACCCCATACCCCATACCCCACACCCCACACCCCATATACCCCACACCCCATATACCCCACACCCCACACCCTACACCCCATATCCCACGCCCCATATCCCATCCCCCATCCCCCCCCCCCATCCCCGTTACCGGTGCCCTCCTGGGGCCCTCCGCTCCCCCCGCACGCTCCCTGCAGCTCCCGCACCCTCCGCTCCAGCTCCCGCAGCCGCTCCAGGAGCTCCCCCAGGGCCGGGGCACAGCCGGGAGCGGGGGCGGGGCGGGGGGGGGTCCCCAAAGACCCCCCCAGGGCCATCGCCAGCAGCAGGAACAGAGCCGGGGCCATCGGCCTGGGGGGGGGGACACATGGACATGGGGGGGGGGCAGTGGGGACATGGGGGGGCAGTGGGGACATGGGGGGGCAGTGGGGACATGGGGGGGGGGGCAGTGGGGACATGGGGGGACAGTGGGGACATGGGGGGGACATGGACATGGGGGGGCAGAGGGGACATGGGGGGGGGCAGTGGGGACATGGGGGGGGCATGGGGGGGGCAGTGGGGACATGGGGGGGGCAGTGGGGACATGGGGGGGGCAGTGGGGACATGGGGGGGCAGTGGGGACATGGGGGGGGGCAGTGGGGACATGGGGGGGGCAGTGGGGACATGGGGGGGGGCAGTGGGGACATGGGGGGGGCAGTGGGGACATGGGGGGCAGTGGGGACATGGGGGGGGCAGTGGGGACATGGGGGGGGACATGGACATGGGGGGGGCAGTGGGGACATGGGGGGGGCAGTGGGGACATGGGGGGGACATGGACATGGGGGGGGCAGTGGGGACATGGGGGGGGGCAGTGGGGACATGGGGGGGGCAGTGGGGACATGGGGGGGGCAGTGGGGACATGGGGGGGCAGTGGGGACATGGGGGGGCAGTGGGGACATGGGGGGGACATGGACATGGGGGGGGCAGTGGGGACATGGGGGGGGGCAATGGGGACAAGGGGGGGGCAGTGGGGACATGGGGGGGACATGGACATGGGGGGGCAGTGGGGACATGGGGGGGCCGTGGGGACATGGGGGGGGCAGTGGGGACATGGGGGGGGGTGGGGACATGGGGGGGGACATGGACATGGGGGGGCATGGGGGGGGACATGGACATGGGGGGACATGGACATGGGGGTGGGCAGTGGGGACATGGGGGGGGGCAGTGGGGACATGGGGGGGGACATGGACATGGGGGGGGGCAGTGGGGACATGGGGGGGGCAGTGGGGACATGGGGGGGGACATGGACATGGGGGGGGGCAGTGGGGACATGGGGGGGGACATGGACATGGGGGGGGCAGTGGGGACATGGGGGGGGACATGGACATGGGGGGGGGCAGTGGGGACATGGGGGGGCAGTGGGGACATGGGGGGGGCAGTGGGGACATGGGGGGGACATGGACGTGGGGGGCATGGACGTGGGGGGCAGTGGGGACATGGGGGGACAAGGACATAGGGGGGACATGGATATGGGGCGGACATGGACATGGGGGGCAGTGGGGACATGGGGTCAGTGGGGACATGGGGGGGACATGGACCTGGGGGGCAGTGGGGACATGGGGGGACAAGGACATAGGGGGGACATGGATATGGGGCAGACATGGACATGGGGGGCAGTGGGGACATGGGGGGGCAGTGGGGACATGGGGGGACATGGACATGGGTGCAGTGGGGACATGGGGGGGACATGGACATGGGGGGCAGTGGGGACATGGGGGGACATGGACATGGGGGGGTCACAGCGGAATGGCGGGGGGCAGAGGGGACAAGCGGGTGGACATGGACATGGGGGCAGTGGGGACATCAGGGAGACATGGACATGGGAGGGACATTGGGGACGTGGGGGAGACATGGACATGGGGGGGGCATGGACATGGGGGGGACATTGAGGACATGGGGGGCAGTGGGAACATGGGGAGACATGGACATGGGGGGGACAGTGGGGACATGGGGGGACAGTGGGAACAGGGGCATGGGGGGGACAGTGACACACAGTGGGGGGGGGACGACACACAGAGCCCACCCACAGCCCCACATGTGCCCAGTGCCACCAGTGACTCCAGTCACACTGCATCCAGTCACACCAGTGCCACCAGTGCCACCTCCAGTGCCACCAGTGACTCCAGTCACACTGCAACCAGTCACACCAGTAACACCAGTGCCACCAGTGACTCCAGTCACACTGCAACCAGTCACACCAGTAACACCAGTGCCACCAGTGACTCCAGTCACACTGCAACCAGTCACACCAGTAACACCAGTGACTCCAGTCACACTGCAACCAGTCACACCAGTAACACCAGTGACTCCAGTCACACTGCAACCAGTCACACCAGTAACACCAGTGCCACCTCCAGTGCCACCAGGGACTCCAGTAACCCTGCATCCAGTCACACCAGTAACACCAGTGCCACCAGTGACTCCAGTCACACTGCAACCAGTCACACCAGTAACACCAGTGCCACCACAAGTGCCACCAGTGACTTTGTCACACTGCATCCAGTCACACCAGTAACACCAGTGCCACCTCCAGTACCACCAGTGACTCCATTCACACTGCATCCAGTCACACCAGTAACACCAGTAAAACCAGTGCCACCTCCAGTACCACCAGTGACTCCATTCACACTGCATCCAGTCACACCAGTAACACCAGTAAAACCAGTGCCACCTCCAGTACCACCAGTGACTCCATTCACACTGCATCCAGTCACACCAGTAACACCAGTAACACCAGTGCCACCTCCAGTGCCACCAGTGACTCCAGTCACCCTGCATCCAGTCACACCAGTACTACCAGTGCCACCTCAAGTGCCACCAGTGACTCCAGTCACACCGCATCCAGTCACACCAGTAACACCAGTGCCACCAGTGTCTCCAGTCACACTGAATCCAGTCACACCAGTACCCCCAGTGCCACCTCCAGTGCTACCAGTGACTCCAGTCACCCTGCATCCAGTCACACCAGTACCACCAGTGCCACCAGTGCCACCTCCAGTGCCACCAGTGACTCCAGTCACCCTGCATCCAGTCACACCAGTACCACCAGTGCCACCAGTACCACCTCCAGTGCCTCCAGTCACCCTGCATCCAGTCACACCAGTACCACCAGTGCCACCTCCAGTGCCACCAGTGACTCCAGTCACCCTGCATCCAGTCACACCAGTACCCCCAGTGCCACCTCCAGTGCCACCAGTGACTCCAGTCACACTGCATCCAGTCACACCAGTACCACCAGTGCCACCAGTACCACCTCCAGTACCACAGTGACACCAGTCACCCTTCATCCAGTCACACCAGTGCCAGCAGTGCCACCAGTGCCACCATTACCACCAGTGACTCCAGTCACCCTGCATCCAGTCACACCAGTACCACCAGTGCCACCAGTACCACCTCCAGTACCACAGTGACTCCAGTCACCCTGCATCCAGTCACACCAGTGCCACCAGTGCCACCATTACCACCAGTGACTCCAGTCACCCTGCATCCAGTCACACCAGTACCACCAGTGCCACCAGTACCACCTCCAGTACCACCAGTGACTCCAGTCACCCTGCATCCAGTCACACCAGTACCACCAGTGCCACCTCCAGTGCCACCAGTGACTCCAGTCACCCTGCATCCAGTCACACCAGTACCACCAGTGCCACCTCCAGTGCCACCAGTGACTCCAGTCACCCTGCATCCAGTCACACCAGTACCCCCAGTGCCACCTCCAGTGCCACCAGTGACTCCAGTCACCCTGCATCCAGTCACACCAATAACACCAGTACCCCCAGTGCCACCTCCAGTGCCACCAGTGACTCCAGTCACCCTGCATCCAGTCACACCAGTACCACCAGTACCCCCAGTGCCACCTCCAGTGCCTCCAGTGACTCCAGTCACCCTGCATCCAGTCACACCAGTACCACCAGTACCCCCAGTGCCACCTCCAGTGCCACCAGTGACTCCAGTCACACTGCAACCAGTCACACCAGTACCACCAGTGCCACCAGTGACTCCAGTCACCCTGCATCCAGTCACACCAATAACACCAGTGCCACCAGTGCCACCTCCAGTACCACCAGTGACTCCAGTAACCCTGCATCCAGTCACACAAGTACCACCAGTGCCACCAGTGCCACCTCCAGTGCCTCCAGTGACTCCAGTCACCCTGCATCCAGTCAAACCAGTAACACCAGTAACAACTCCAGCACCACCAGTGATTATAGCAGCACCAGCAACAGTGGCACCAGTAACACCAGTGACTCCAGTAACAGCGGCACCAGCGCTCCCAACCCCCTCCAGTCCCCTCCAGTGACACCAGTAACACATCAGTCATACCAGTGACACCAGTTAACACACCAGTAACACCAGTCACACCAGTAACACACCGGTGACACGAGTAGCAGCAATCACACAAGTAACACACCAGTCACACCAGTAACACCAGTGACACCAGTAGCACACCAGTCACACCAGTAAGACACCAGTCACACCAGTGACACCAGTAGCACACCAGTCACACCAGTAAGACACCAGTCACACCAGTGACACCAGTAGCACACCAGTCACACCAGTAAGACACCAGTCACACCAGTGACACCAGTAGCACACCAGTCACACCAGTAAGACACCAGTCACACCAGTGACACCAGTAGCACACCAGTCACACCAGTAAGACACCAGTAACACCAGTGACACCAGTAGCACACCAGTCACACCAGTAAGACACCAGTCACACCAGTGACACCAGTAGCACACCAGTCACACCAGTAAGACACCAGTCACACCAGTGACACCAGTAGCACACCAGTGACACCAGTGACACCAGTCACACCAGTGACACCAGTAGCACACCAGTCACACCAGTGACACCAGTCACACCAGTGACACCAGTAGCACACCAGTGACACCAGTGACACCAGTCACACCAGTGACACCAGTAGCACACCAGTCACACCAGTGACACCAGTCACACCAGTGACACCAGTAGCACACCAGTCACACCAGCGGCACCAGTAAAAGCAGCCCCAGCCCCACAAGTACCTCCAGCAGCAGCAGCAGCAGTGCTCCCAGTGCTCCCAGTGCTCCCAGTGCCCGGCCCCACCCCTCCCCCCTGTTTACAGCTGCTGTTGCTGCAGCAACAAAACATCTGGGCGGGAGCCGCCAGATGTGGAGAGGCTGCTGGGGGGGGAGGGGTGCGGGGGAATAACACCGGGGATGTGAAACAGTGATAACAACCAGCGATACCAGTGAGACACCAGTGAGACACCAGTGATACCAGTGATAACACCAGTGATACCAGTGAGACACCAGTGAGACACCAGTGATACCAGTGATACCAGTGAGACACCAGTGATACCAGTGAGACACCAGTGATACCAGTGAGACACCAGTGATACACCAGTGATACCAGTGAGACACCAGTGAGACACCAGTGATACCAGTGATACCAGTGAGACACCAGTGATACACCAGTGATACCAGTGAGACACCAGTGAGACACCAGTGATACCAGTGAGACACCAGTGAGACACCAGTGATACCAGTGAGACACCAGTGAGACACCAGTGATACACCAGTGAGACACCAGTGATACCAGTGATACACCAGTGAGACACCAGTGAGACACCAGTGAGACACCAGTGATACCAGTGAGACACCAGTGAGACACCAGTGATACCAGCGGGACACCAGTGATACCAGTGATAACACCAGTTATACCAGTGAGACACCAGTGATAACACCAGTGATACCAGTGAGACACCAGTGATAACACCAGTGATACCAGTGAGACACCAGTGATACACCAGTGATACCAGTGATACCAGTGAGACACCAGTGATACACCAGTGATACCAGTGAGACACCATTGAGACACCAGTGATACCAGTGAGACACCAGTGAGACACCAGTGATACCAGTGATACACCAGTGATACCAGTGAGACACCAGTGAGACCAGTGATACCAGTGAGACACCAGTGAGACACCAGTGATACACCAG